ATCGTTTTCGGTCACTAACGAGACATCGTTATCTTCATAGCTTTTGCTTACGTTATTGTTACCATTACCGTTATTGTAATCGTCCTTTAAATCGCCATCGTCACCGTTATTTTTATCGTTATATTTATCCTTCTTGTTATCGTTATCTTTATCCTTTTGGTTAATGTAATATTTATCCTTTTAGTTCTGGATATTGTTACTGTTATTTTTATAGTTTTGTTACAGAGCTTTTAGTTCTAATACTAAAGGCCTTCTTACGGCCGCGCATTGTCAACACCAGAGCAAAACTTTACTCTGCAGAAACCATATCTGATCTGATTTTAGAGTTTTCCTTTAATCAATTAAAGTCTAAAGAATAACTCGCAACTCACCTTGTATGTCATCGAATTTCAGCCGCTCGTCTGTCCACTGTTCGCGGAATGTCAACTGCACGCTGTACTCCTACACACCCACACAAAAAGGTCGATTAGTACAATTCGTCGAAAACATGAAAAGTTTATTTTAAATTTGTGAATTCTAAATAATGATTATGTAGGTATGTATAACTTAGCTACGATGGATTAACTGATTATCTAATGCGCTCGTTTTGAATCATTTTTGTTCTGGATAATTTGCCCGGGGTGAAAGGATCGATTGCAAATTTTGCATTTTTCTTGGTGAATATTTATTTTCAATGAGGCTGATGGGTTCTACGAATTTCGTTTCGAAAATTTCGCAATATTCCAAATTTCCACATTTATAATTGTACGAATGGTGTGCTATTAAACAGTTAAAAACCGAATTTAATTTATTTGCGGAAATTTTGCGTAAGAGATTTAAATTTTTCTTTTGCATAGATTTTTGGTTGGCAATTGCAAGTAGGTGGGTGGGTGGTGGTCGATTGGCTGATTGGGTAACTAATTGAATTGATTTGAATTGAATTGAGTGACTTTTTCGAATGGTGGTGAATGGGCGTTGATTGGTTTTTGTCTTTGATTTTGCTGGGTAATTATGTTTTCAATATGTGCCGTTATGCGTGGGTTTTTCTATTTCCAATTTGTTTTGTTTGGATTTTCTGGGTTTATTTGCTCTGATTTGGATTTGTCNAGCAGATTGTTTGGTTAGAATGCGAATATTTAGATAAACATAGATAAATTTGAAAATTGTCATGCAGCTGATTATGCAGCGGCGGTCAAGCAGGTCAAGCAAACATTTAGTTAACAGTCGCTTACATATATGTATCACAAAAAAGCATTGCATAAATAGACGTACATATCTATTAAAAATAAGTATTATATAAAAAGATATAACTTATAATGTATGTATATATATATATGTGTGTAGTATATATAGTAAATTAACCGTAAAACACCTTCTTGCATTAGATGCAGAATATTTTGAATACAAGTTTATTATTAAAATAAAATAAAAGCGATGTGCAGGCAAGAAAGCATGTCACAGAAATTAAGGCTAACGTACAAATGCATATGTATATGCATATATACAAAAAACTCGAAAATTTCTCTTAATAAAAAATATATGGCTTATTTTGAACTAAGCGTAAAAAAATTAAAAAAATACATTAATAAAAAATCGCTTATGCAAATAAAGCATGAATTTTATGTCAAATATATATGTATCTTTTAGTTTGGCTTCAGCGTCACCTAGCGATTCCTTTTGACCTTCTGCTGTCTATACTTTAGAACTTATATGTAAAGCAATACGGATATATTTTGGGCTTTAAAGAGCTTAGCTTAGCATATGGCGGTATTTTAACCCGCGCCTTCGATTATGTTAATAAACACACTTACCTCTACATAAGCAAACACTTTATTAAAGTGCTTAGTGGTCATTCTGTATTAGAAAATGAAGCCAATAGTCAAATTTAATTTTTGGAATTTGGTATCGATCGACATTTGAAATATCGAGTCTTTTTATCCCGATATTAATGGGTATCCGATATTTTTACAGCGATTCTTTGAATTGGTACTATATCGATACTTTCGGTCCGATATCGTGTCCCTATTTCGATGAATGCACCTTAGATTTCTTGTTTCTACAGCAAATAGTAGTGACTGCTGTCAGATCTTTTATATCCGAGTTGGTACGGTTGTGTTCCTCTGATCTAGAACGTAGATGAAATTTTGTTTTGGAAGCTGTTTCTTCTGTAAGGTGAATAAAAATCGCTAACATCACAAAACGAGCCTTATGCCAACTAGTCTAAGAATAGTTTATGCCTAAAACCGGAAACTATGCAGCAATGTGGCCGTGAAAGTTTTCCCCAAACTAAACAAAGTTTGATTAACCTGTCCAAGACTAAAGCACAGTTATAGTGAGTGGCATTTCCACTCGCCCTCTGTCCGGTGATATCGTTTCGCCAACAACATAGATTGTTGTTGTTGCCCGCCATGTCACTATGGCTTCTTCTCATATATGCCTCAAGATGTAAAATCTTAACTTAGTTAACCTGTGCTGGTACTAGCCCGGCTTTCCTTGCAACAGTTTCTTTGAGAATACCGAAGTAGTTTCTAACTTTTAATTATATATAATCATAATACCTCAGTAATGAAAAAACCAAGACTAAGTATCGCTCGCTGTAAGTTAAGGTCTAGTAAATATGTCACAGCATTAACTATACGTTTAATTCACCTAACCTTTCTTTTCCTTGAGCGGCTATAATAGCGAACATATTACTGAGGTACTGAGTAGTCCAAGTTTCTGCATCAAATATAATCAAATTTCATTTCCATATTTTTTTTTTTTTACTATTTATGCTCTCACTTTGCATGCCTTTCTGTTAATATCTCTGCTACTTTGCATCGAGTATAAATAAAATATTAATTTATAATAACTTGAATCAAAAGCATGCCCTTATGCAAATACATATGTATGTATGTACATTAGGGTTGTCCTTATTTTTACGAGTCAAAATTTTAACGTGCGCCGCCGGGATATCTGTTTCTTTTCGTCTGAAAGACTTACAGTAAATCGAGCGATGGTTTGCGCCAAGTGTTCGCAAAACGTTCAAAAATTGTAACATCAGGTGCATCTTTTGAACTAGTTTCAATTCAAAAACAGCACAGAAACTAGTTTCATATATGTATGTGGCGACGACAAAGCAACCTCATTACCTAATTTAATTGTGGCGGCTGTTTCAAAAACTTTTGTACTGGACTGATAATTATGCAACGGAGTGTATATAAAGATTTCAAAGCTTGCACAAATTAAAAAAAAAAATTAATCAAACTTACAAAAAATTTTCAATAAAATTTCCAAATTTTTAGTTAGATTATTTAGAAAATTTTCGGGTATGCAATTTTATAGCCCATTCAATTTTAGTCTAGTAAAGCGCAAGTTTCAAGTCGCTAAAAATGAGGGTGTTGCGGATTTTTTTTTTCATATAAAAATAAATTTTAATCTTGCGTTATATGGAAGAAAATGCGCCACATCCTCCACAAAAAAAAAAAACTCTAAAAAATCAACGGTATTTTTTAGCGACTTGAAGCTTGGACTTTATTGCACTAAAATGGAATGGGCTACAAAACTGTTGCTGCTGTGCTTACAATAAAATTCGAAATTTATAAAAAACTACTGTGTTCTTTAATAAAGTTAAAAAGAAACATGAGCTTTGACGACTTTTAACAGTTTTCGCTTCTATCAAACGCTAACCTAGTGACTTAATATTTTGAGTGAAAATCTGTAGTTAACTGCCGATTCTGAGT